TTCAGGAATAAGTACAGTTAGTCCTTCTCATTTGTTGTGGTTAGCAACACCTGTAAGATAAAAACATTGCTTTTTAAAATCTGAGAGACCACCTCTAGGAATGTTTAGGTCTTCCAGCAGGGCTTCATGGTCAACTTCTGCTGGAAACTGAACGTAGAATTACATCAAATCCTAGAGAACTGTCCTCTCTAGAAATCTTTAAGTTCTCTATCATGACTGAAAGAAGTTGATCATACAATCACACTAGAACAGAAGCTCCAAACTGTGTTCCATAGACTGCTAAGGTTCAACAAAAGCTTAATAGTCATTTTACAGATAATCTTTTGAAAATTGAATTTAGAATGGATTTTAAAATAAAAACAAATAGGGCCAACTGTTTGATTTACAGTCTCCGTAATGCCTATTTTGTCATACAACTATTGCCATCAAGCATGCAGTTATTGGCTACAATTCAAGGTGAGGGTTATCACCTATAAAACCCTATATGCTTCGGAACCATATGCTTTGGAACCAACTTATCTTCGAAAACGCATCTCTTTCTATTAACCGGTATGGTCTTTGAGATTAGCAGGGGAGGCCCTTCTCTTGGTTCCACCACCGTCTAAAGTGCAATTGGTGGGAATGAGAGAGAGGGCTTTCTCTGTGGTCATGCCCTGGCTCTGGAATACCCTTCCAAAAGAGATTAGGTTAGCCCCCACCCTTGAATCTTTCTGATCCAGCCTAAAACATGGATTTTTAAGCAGGATTTTGACATCAAATAGGCTGAAATGGGCCCATATGAGGTTGACACTCTGGTACTTTAGTTGTCAATTAATGGCAGATACCTTTATCTACAGATGCTCTGCGTTTTAAAATTGTGCTATTTTATTTTATATTATATGTGTTGATAGTAGTTGTTTTATAATTTCTATGTCATACCGTTTTAAACTCGTGTACCATTTACGTTATATACTGCACCGTGGAGCCCCTTTGTAAGCTGCCCTGAGTCCCCTTGGGGAGATGGTGGTGGGATATAAATAAAGTTTACTACTACTACTACTACTACTACTATTACACATTTCAACATTTTATTTCCAACTGTGCAAGAATGATTCATACATAGTCAATTTTTCACATTGATTCCACATTTCTTTTTTTATTTTCTTTCTTGTACAGTTTTTGAGGTGAGATATTGCGAGATATTGCAATATTATTCAGAAAATATCAAGAGCAAAATTTACTCAAAAACTAGATGTTATATAGGAAAATGGAAGATGTATTTGAATCAGTGTAAAATAATCCAAAATATATTTGATTAAACAAGTCAGGGATAGAGTTAGGGTTTCACAAAAAGTAAATGTCTTCTAAAGAGTTATATGGCCAAAAAGCTTTGGTGACCACTTCGCTGGAGGACCTAGAGATTCCTAGAGAGAATATTTCAAATTAATTCTATGAATAATCAAATCTGTAAAAGTCCAATTGGGGATGGATGACTGTATGTATTTCATGACTCCATTTCTGTTAAACCAAGGGGGATCTCTCTGCCTGACAAAGAAATTTCAATGTTTACATATTTTTTCTTGCATGTGCAAATATTTAAATATTTCCCTTGATTTTAAAAGATTGGAAAAATAAAATATGTCATATTTTAGTGCAATAAGATTATATTTTGAACAAAATGTAATTTTTGGAACCAATACAAATTTCACAGAAAAGTCCTGAAATGTGAAAAATAATTGAATATGTTTTAAAATATATTGCAATATAGATATATTAAGAAATAGTTAGAGAATAAGAACTTGTATGGATATTCTTTACAATCGTGTGTTGTAAAATAATATATTGGGGTGGCCAGCTTGTGCCCCCACAGCCACATACAGTCCCTGGACCACTTTTGTGACCTCACAGCTCTTATCACTGCTGCTCAATTTTGGCAGTGTGCTAGAAAAACTAGAACAAACAAATAAGTAGAACAAGGAGTTAAAGGAGCAGATGGCTTATCTGAGAGAAGAATCACACTTCCCAAAAACCTCCAGGAAGTGTGATTCTGTTTTTAAATAAAACTTTGCTCCCTGAGTACATTGTTTTAGTGGCTTGGTGGGTTTGCCCCTTTCTTTTTATTATTTACTGCCAAATTCACTAATACACAATCATGACAGCAGTGTCTCATGAAAAAACCTAAGGGAGGAAAGCCATTTCGTTTAGGATAGATTGGGGTGATAAGCACATCTGTATTTTAATTAATTCACTTGCTGTCTTTTTAATGTTACCAAACATTAAACAACAATTTAAAAGGATAATAATAATAATAATAATAATAATAGTAATAATAATAATAATAATAATAATAATAATAATAATAATAATAATAATAAATGCTCCAATCAAAGACTGTCTGTGTCACACAGTTAACATTACAAGGTCTGGATAGCCTGAAAGGTTTAGTATGCTGGTAGAAAAAAAGAGCCAATGGATATAGGTCAACCCAGGCCCCATCTACAATGCCTTATAATGCAGTTTGGAACTATATTATATGGTCAGTACAGATGCATATAACTGCATCTACACTCACCATATAATGCAGTTCCAAACATACAGGGCTTCAGCCTTGTATGAAAAGGATCTATTGCATGGGAACCACATCTCTTTCCTGTATCCTCACCAAATATACATGTGATGGAAATGGACTCAGAGAGGATTTCAAAACTCAGTACAGCATCCCTGATTCAGTTAGAAATATTTTAGAGTGAATATTAGTAGACTGCCTGCTGTTTACTTCATTTATGAAATTGGTCAGCTCCCAAGTGAGAGAATGCAATGTATACACTTTTATAAGTTTCCCCAAATACGAATTAGAGACATTGCAACTTCTGAAAATGGAAACAGGTATATGGAGATGTGCTATGTTTTTGAAATGTGGAAGTTGTTAAGTAGCATTTGTGAAAGTTGTGAAACCCTTGTATGGCCCCTGTTCTGATGCGTTTCAACATGAGAGGATTAAAACGGGCAAAGGCACCTTTCCTTTCTTTTGCATTGCTTGAGGTTGTATCTTTCCAAGTCTTTTGTGAATGAGGAAGCCTATAAAAATTAAATGATTAGATTAACATGTGTTTAAAAGTCCTCTGCCCTTTTACTTTAAAGCGACTTAATGTTTTATGAGGCAATTCTTTAAAGATTTTATATGGTGACTCTCCTTTCCCTCCTAGAAATGAAGGTTTTTATGGAGGCATTTTTACCTGTAAACTGTACAGACAGATGCTGTCCATCTTTTAAATCAAAATGTGGAAAGAAAGGTCAAACATTAAGTAAGGGAGAGCTTATTGGAGGCTATTAGGCAAGATTAACGGAACAGTGGGGTTGTTGCAGAAGACCAGGAGAGGTGATGTACCAGATTAATGCTGAATGTCCTAAATCACTTCCAAGAGTGTGTAAAAAGACTTGAATGTCTTCCCTAATTGTTTGGTCTTAGTCTCTGAAGTATTCATTACCAGGCACAGCTGGAGATTGGTACTGGCTAGATGGACCATTTGTGTGGCACAGTGTGATCATTATAGTCTTGCTTTATTAAGTGGCATAACAGCCCATTTAGGTAGAGCAGGACAAAAATGAAATCAGCTCCAGTGCTGAGCATCTTCAATTGTTTTTGAGCTGCGGATACTGGAGAGTAAAGGAGATGGCTGACCTATGATCTAAAAAGATTGCCATTTTCTCTGAAAGAATAATTAGGAGGACTGCAGATTTGAAGAAGTACTATCAGACTTCAACTTTCTTATTAAGGCAGACAAGTAATTAAAGTATAACCAACTAATTAACTCATATGCTGTATTAAAATGATAGATGCTTTCGTCTATATCTCAACCCACTCATATAGGCTGTTTGAAAAAAGTGATTTGTGTAGAGGCTATAAATATCTGATTTTTATCATATGGTATACATAGAACTTATGTAACTCACCAGGTGTCAAAATGTGGTATTTTACTGACATAATAGGACTGTATGCTGAGTGTAGAAACACCACCACAGTATCTAAAATTGGTCTTCGGAAGCTCAGTATGTAGCTCATGCAGGTGCAACTACACACCTGGATAGATATCCGAGTTGGGAGGCTGATCTAGCAGGTGGTGGCATTTTATATGTAATGGAACACATATCCCTATCCTCCACCACTGGTAATTTAGTAGGGAAAATCCTATCACATACATCATCCATCATTTTAGCATAAACAGTGGCTGTTATTTTGGCTTAAGTGTTGGGAGGTATAAATATTTTAGAGTATTGCATGGATCATTTGACTAGGCAAGGGGAAATCACAGCAAGTACTTCAAGTTGAAACCATAACAAGTAAATATTCATGTATGGTTGGCACATGTTGTATTTTGTGGAAGTATAACACCAATTTTGTTATCTTTAAATTTGAAATGTGTGTTTGATCAATATTTCATTGACCAAATATATTATGGATATCAGTGAAATGAAAAAGTCCCACATCTCAAGCTAATCTGAACAGTTTACTTTCAGACCAGAGACACTATTAGAATGTTGTGCATACCATGAAAAATGAATTGGCGTCTATAAAATCTCTGGCTAAGAGCCTATTGAATTCTGGGATAATGGAAAATTGTTGCTCATGTAGTTGCATTGCATCGGTTTTTAACTTTTTGCAGAACCTCTCTGATCCTCAGTACATTGCTCACAGTTCACTAGGGAAGAGATAACTTGAGAAATTCCTAAGGTTTTTCTAAACCACTTGTTTTATAGTGTCTTAGCTTTAAAGATCCCTTAGAACCAGACACAGAGAAAGAGATGGGTCTGCATAGAGACAGGTTCCAGTGGAGGCATGTGGTAGGTGGCTGTCTCCTCCGTTAGTTATTGTGGCAGCTTAGATGTGCAGCAGTGAGCTGGGGGCAACCCACTGCCATCCATCATCTGCACATTTCTTTTGCTTGTGCAAGGAAGTTAAACATACATTCTTGCATGAATACATGTCTAAAGCTGGTGTGAACACATGTTTGATCTTTCAGTTGGAGAAGCTGGTGTGAGTTGCAGTGGACTGGCCATTGGATTTTGCAACTCCTCCCCCTCCCCCGGCCCACCTAAGGTTCTAGAATACACACTGAAAGGTATGAAGGTATGAATGTATTCACTTCTGCCTCTAATCTTCCTCCCATTTTACTGTGTGTTGTATGCCTTCAAGATGTTCCATGCTCATCGCAATCCTAAAGTCAGCCTATCATTGGGTTGTTCAGACAGGGTTTGTCTTTTCTTTTACCTGAGGCTGAGGCGGTGTGATGTATCCAAGGTTCCCTGGCGGGTTTCCTTGGTTGAGTGGGAATTTGAACCATGATCTCCAGAGTGGTAGTCCAATGCTCAAGTCACACCGACTCTCTTCCAACATCTCATTGTAGCACCACATTTCAATATATCACCTAGATAACACCCAACATTATTGGGTATATTATTCAGTCAGGAGCAGCATGTTATGGAGCAGGTGTATATGTAACATTGAAAGTGATATAGAGACCCCTTGCCTTATCAGATTATGTAATGCCTCAAGATCCTCCTTATCTGCACATCCATTTATTAAGAGTGATTAAATTGGTCTTCTCTTATCAATCAATTTATCGATCTTTTGTTGGTTAACTAGATGGGACTTCAAATAGTTTGTTCAAGGCCATCCATCATCCGACTGCAAATGAAATTTTACTTGCCATTGGTACAAGGCCACTTTTCATCCAAGAATTTAACCGGTCACCATTATTCCCATTATCAGGTAATAGTACCATGCATGACTCACTATGGTTAACAACTATTTTACTATTTAAGTACAGCCTTCTGTTTTTAATTTTGGTTAGGGTCACCTTTTCATTATCTTCTATTTATACTTATTTTTGTGGTCCTTTTCTTAATGTGACCCTTTTAACAACCAGCCTGTTAGCTCTTGCAAAGAGTCATAACCCACCCATCTGTAACGGGATTGTCTTCTTTTCCTGCTAACTTCTACTTTGTCTGTTTAGCATTCCATGGCATCCATAGAACTTTTTACCAGTATTATATTATTAATGAGTTGGCTCTCTTATCATGTGCTTTTTTCACTATTGTGCTTTCATTGACGTACCCAGAGATCGGAAATATGGTGGCATATAGGAGATACTGTGGCATGTGTCATATATTCAGTGATACATCTATATACTTCAAGAGCTTGTCTAGTTCCTTCCTAGCTGCCCTTCCAAGTTCTAGTCTTCTGATTTTTTGACTGCAGTCTCCATTGTGATTGAACCAATTTATGGGAAATCTTGTGGTGGCTGAGTTACTAGAACTGACCTCATTATATATGGTTAACTCTTCAAAGATATGAGTCACAGAGTACATTTACTGTTCATTCTTTTCCCCAATACATGTGCTCCAGAGCTTTATATTTTGCAGAATACATAAAATATAGCATCTAATCTACAATATCTCACTCTAAATACTTTGCATTGTTAATGCCACAATAACTATTTGGGTTAACTATCTCTTTTGTCTGCAATAGCTTACCTTTTTCCTGTTACTAAATAGCTTAGCTTTCTTATGCTATTTACTAAAATTGGAGAAAGAAAGTGGGAAAATAATAGTCCATTTGGAATACCTGTAAATCTGAGAGTTAATTTTCATGAAGACAGTTTTACAGAAGAACTGAAACATTTCCAAAATGTCAAAAGTAAACAACAGAAATGTTACCTCCTTGACTCTCTACTTGCTATGGATTGGGTGAATTTGGCTTTGCAAATGGTTTGAGTGACCTGCCAGCTTTTTCTCAAAGTGTAGCAGAGGGGCATTTGTTCAAAATCATACAGAATAGTTTATGGCCATAAATTCAAATGATCAAAACTTTGAAAACAGCTAGTAGAGTGCTCTAGGGTCTTTGCCAATTTTCCGACACACTGTGATTTTGCCAGTACACCTGATCCCTGACATTTCATGTTTCTGCTATTCTGGTTTTTAGCTTCTGAACTCTGAATGTCAATTGGAGGTGTGGAAACCCCTTGACATATCAGGTTATGCTTCTACGACTTTCTGCTGGGTACTTTTTGTTATATGAATTACTGTCTCCCACCTTTTCTGCCATTGCATTTTCATGTATAGTGGTTTCCTTTTTGTGTATTGATTTCTGAGAGTTGTTATAGAACTGGGATTTAACAGAACTCATATGCTAACATGAGATTAGGATATGTCATCTGCGGGGACACGAGAGAAGCCTCCCACAGGATGGTAAAGCATCAATCATCCGGGTGTCCCCTGGGCAACGTCCTTGCATATGACCAATTCTCTCACACACCAGGAGCGACTTGCAGTTTCTCAAGTCACTCTTGAAAAAAAAATCCCAACAATTTTGTAATTTTATTGAATTTCCATTATTACACTTTAACATTTTGTGGGTCCTTGTTATCCACTGGGGTGTTGTTCCAAGACCTACCATGGATATCCTCCATTATATACAATGGTATAGTGAAATGGCTTGCTTGATATAAAATGGTAAAATTGAAGTTTGCTTTTAATTTTTAAAAAATATTTTCAAATCACCTTTTTAAGCTGCTTTGCATCTTTTTTTGTGGAGAGAAAAAGTGGGGTATAAATAATAATAATAATAATAATAATAATAATAATAATAATATAATAGCATCCATGGATGATTGAATCTGTAGATTCAATAGGTTGTAGCCATACAAAATTTAGCATTGAGTTAAAATGGTGCTCACCCACTTCTGTACCTCACTAGCGGCCCCATCCTTCAGTAGCTATGGCATACTACTGAAAGTTGAACTTATGAAGATCCAAGCAGGCTTATATTTTAATTCCCCTAAAGATGCAACATCTTGCCCTTGTTTACAGTTCCGTGGCTGCATATTTCAAATTGATAGCTGCAGTGGGATATCTGAAAGATATCAACAATCTTTAAGCAGCTAGTGATTGACCACTAATGTGAAAAGAAAAGCAACATGTGAAATTAAGCCTGTAGCAAAGAACAACATAGGAGAAACAACAGCTTTTGTCTGAATTTGAGACACCTATCTGCAGCTGTAAGAGACACCTATCTGCTGCCGGCAACTTGGCAATGCCAGCCTTTTAACTTGTTACACTACTTAGCCTAGATGCATGAGCAATGCTTAGTTCATTCTTGATCTCATTGGAGAATAATGCATAACTAAAGTCCCTTTCAGGCACTTGCCTGATTGCTTGTAGGGGAAGAAATGGGCATGGGCTGCATACTAACAGTGCTCCCCGGCATAAGTTGAACAGTCTCATTTCTGAATGGGGTTCTATTAATAATGCATTGTGCACAGTGCAATTGCACAGGTCCCATGATTGAGAATGTCATTATCATTGTTCTTGGTCCTAGGAACTATGTCACAATTTTTAGCCAAATATACTTGGAAAACCTCTTCAGACTTACATTCGTTTTGTGATATTTAGAGGCACTCATATTCTTGTACCAAGTTGTATCCCTCTAGATCCTCTAGAATCTAGATGTTCTAGAATATGGTTTGAATCGAGATGCCTGCTGTAGAATGGTCAGTGCATCAACTTTTTTTTTGTTTATTCAGTTTGTATCCCACCTTTCTTCATGAAGGATTAAAGGCAGACTGTAGCACTCCTTCCATCCTTCCTTTCGAGATGCACTTCAAATGTTGGGTTGTGAGTTTTTCGGGCTGTATAGCCATGTTCTAGAAACGTTCTCTCCGGATGTTTTGCCCACATCTATGGTAGGCAACCTCAGAGGTTGTGAGGTCTGTTGGAAAATAAGTAAGTGAGGTTTATATATATAGCAATCAGGCTTTGAAGCTGCAAGGCTATTCAATGCTAATCAAGGTAGCTAATCTCAACATTCACACTTGCCTCAAACAGACAAGAGTTCCTTCTCCCAGCCTTGACATTCCACAGATATATAAACCCCACTTGCCTAGTTTCCAACAGACCTCACAACCTCTGAGGATGCCTGCCATAGATGTGGGTGAAACGTCAGGAGAGAATGCTTCTGGAACATGCCCATACAGCTTGGAAAACTCACAGGAACCCAGTGATTCATGCCATGAAAGCTTTCAACAACACTTTAAACATTATTTATACAAAAGTTTTAAAATAATTAAATACAGGTTGAATATCCTTTATTTGGAATTCCCAACGCCAAATATACCAAAATCCAAAATTACCCACATGCATGGCTGAGACAATGGCACCTTTGTTTTCTGGTGCTTCTTGGCTTGGGGTTCAGGACTTGTGGGGTGGGGCTCAGGGGTTGCCAAAGACAAGCAGAAAGCACAGTATTTTGTGTTGGTCATGGGGGGGTTCTGTGTGGGAAGTTTGGCCGAATTCTATTGGTGGGGTTTAGAATACTCGTTGTAGGTGAATTGTAAATCCCAGCAACTATAACTCTCAAATGTCAAGGTCTATTTTCCCAAAACCCACCAGTGTTCACATTTGGGCATATTGAGTATTCGAGCCAAGTTTGGTTCAGATCTATCATTGTCTGAATCCACAGTGCCCTTTGGATTTAGGTGAACCACTGCTCTAAAACTCAAGGTCAATGCTAACCCTTCCAGTATTTCCTGTTGGTCATGGGAGTTCTCTGTGCCAAGTTTGGTTCAATTCCATCATTGGTGGATTTCAGAATGCTCTTTGATTATAGGTTAACTATAATTCCCAGCAACTACAACTCCCGAATGATAAAATTAATCCCCCTCAACCTCACCAATATTCAAATTTGGGCATATCAGATATTTGTGCCAAATTTGGCCCAGTGAATAAAATACATTCTTCATATCAGATATTTACAGTATAATTCATAACAGCAGCAAAGTTACAGTTATGAAGTAGCAACAAAAAATATTTTTTTATGGTTGGGGGTCACCACAACATGAGGAACTGTATTAAGGGGTCGTGGCATTTGGAAGGTTGAGAAACACTGGTGGACATGTACATGATTACATGCACAAAGTGCTCTTCAAAGAGCCAAAATTAGGGAGGCCCACTAGCCACAAAATAGTAGTTCAGGAATGAAACCAGTCACAAAATGGCACAAATGTGCGTAAAATCATTTGAAAGCCATCTCAGCTTTTTGTCATCATTATTTTATCTTCCAGAA